AAATCATCTAACTCTCTGCCGCGTCTCAGGTGATGGGTCAAAATGGTTAAAAGGGTAAGGAGGAAAAAAAAGAGGGCCACAACATTAGCCCGTTATTAACTCCAACCGAGTGTATTTCCTTGTTAGTCTCCCGGCAGATCCACGGGGGCCTTGCGCAGTCTGTACTTTTGGTGACCCTCGCCACATTCCACCCCTTTGGGCTGTCACAGGTTACAGAAAGTGAAGACAACGATGAAAATGGCAGTAGCCACAAATAGTAACAAAGGAGCGAATGAAGAATACTGAAGGATCCTCCACAGAACATTGCCTATATTCAATAGGCGAAATGATGGGTTACGAATTCCGATCCTTGTCAATTCCCTGCAGCGGATGTCCGTGCTGGTCGCACTCAGAAGATCTGGCCCACTCTTTACCCCAGATTTGTTGGCGTTACACAAAGGGGGAATAATAAACGAAAATAAATGAAAATTTCAAAATTATCGGGGATCAGGGGGCGCTTAGAACCAAATGATGGGGATTGTCCAGAATATATTGTAGATGATCTCCCCATCGGTTTCACCGGGGTCAGCGCGCTTCTCTCCAAAAGAAAAAGCAAAGATGGGAAAAAAAGAAAGAAAGCTTCGATAGTGCGGGGAGTGGCTTGTACACCAGCTGAATGGTTCGTGAAAAAGTAATATCACCAACTAATTTCTATTAGTACTCATCATGTACACATCATTCTACCTAAACCTTCCGCGGACCAGGCATGATCACATCCGGGGTTATTTGTCTTGGCTTCAAGCCAACGGATCAAGGGGGAATGTCTTACAGGTTTTACGTCTGGAGTACATATGGGACTCGTGACGAATCACCCACGTTGTTTTAGTAAGGTCATATGTACGGAGTACGGAGTACTCCGTAGACTACTAGACTACGCAAGACAGTAGGAGCTTTGGTCCAAAATCATATTGAGGACTTGATGGATATGGATTAGAGGCCGATCCTAAGGCAATGGGTCATTTCCTAAAAATATATATATATAAAATAAAAAAATGAAATGAAATGAAAAAATTTGCCCAAAAAAGCAAATAAAACCCAAAACCCCATAACGATGCCCTGGTCAATTTGCTTTTTTTGGGGGGCTTCTTCACTGCAAATCAGGGCATCAGATCCAACATGCTTGGCAGCCTCCCCCGCATAGAAAGTTTATAAGAGAAAAAGGAATAAGTAGTACGTAGAATTTATAGAATTTATAGAACATTTATTAAATATATTTAGGGATTTTGATTTATTTCATTTAATTTTTAATGGCTTGAGTAATTAACTTAATTATAATTTTACAGGCTAATGCGTTCATAGCTAGAAACTAAGGTAGTCTGTGTTTTTATTACGCATTAGATTCACCCAAGCCTTTATACCCTACCCTAAGTACCTACACTAGGTACTCCGTAGTAGGCTACTCATTGTATATATTAATGTCCTTAATATCCTTCATATTGGACTGGTTTTTTTCCCCGCCTCTTTACTCAGCTACTATTTTGTTTGAATTTCCTACGGAAAAAGTGTATTCTCTGATCACACGCACTGTGGCGGACCAAGCACATTTTCCCGTACTTTTAGTACCTCCCCCTCCATTTATACCCGACAGCCCGCCTTCCCCCCTCTCGTCAGCAGTGCATCCGGGCTCTTATCGGATGCCCTTCTTCAATGTTGTCCATGCATACCTCATATTTTACCCATCCGGATTTGAATGACTCTGACATTCAAGAGAGGGAGACTCACCGATCGGATATTCCCATACCTGCATTAGGTATCCGGGGCTCCGTCATCCGAGGCAGCACATCCAGCGCCAGCACCGGTGTTAGCACCGATGATGCTTCAGTCGATTCACTGGATTGGAATGGCGACAAATCGCCGTCGGTCGACCAAGAGTGCCAAGACTATGAACAAGTGAAGGGATATTCGCATTTCGACGCAGCGCAATTGAATGATATTATGGAGATGCCTAAAGTGGAAGAACTGGAAGAACTCGATGATGACTTGTTGAGTATCAAACAGGCGGATGTGGAGTCGGGCGCTCCCGCTCCTGTTCCACGGAAACGTGGTCGCCCACGCAAACATCCGCTGCCAGCTCCCGGAGGTCAGGCCAAGGTCACTAAAGGTCGCTCCAAGACTGGTTGTATAACCTGTCGGAGGAGAAAGAAGAAGTGTGATGAGACGAAGCCTTCGTGAGTTATTGTGTTGCGACTACTGAGTTGTTGTTGTTTTTTTGGGGTCTAACAGGGGATAGTTGCCAAAACTGCCAGAAGAATGCGGTCGTTTGCGAAGGCTACCCACTCAAGGAGATTTGGAAGAGTGGAAGACAGCGAATGGCTGATGGTAGGTGCATTCTACGTTTTGATTTAGACTGTTTATGATGCACTAACTTCGTTTTTTTCTGTAGCTCGATCCCAGTCTCTTACAGCCATCCCGCGCAGCTTACCCCTCCTCATCGACGGCATCGAAACGGATGTCGACCGTCGCTTTTTAGACCACTTTGTGTACGGTTTCAGTCGCGTGCTGACACTCATCAACGATGATTCAAATCCCTTCAAGGAGATTCTTCTGCCGATGGCGACACAACACAGGGGGCTGATGCACTCGCTAATGTGCTTGTCCGGATCGCATCTCTCAGGTTTGGATCCCGAACCAAAGCTGAGAGAGCGAAAATACTTCCATTTCCATCACGCTATCCAAGATCTGAAAGATAATATCAATGCGTCATCATCAGCCAAGAGCCCCGACGAGGATGACCGGTTGTTAGTTGAGGACCCGATCATCGCATCCACCATCGCCCTCAGCTTAAACACCATCTGCGAAGGCGAGACAAACGGCGAATACCGACCACACATGGATGCCGCTCGGTATCTGCTACTGTCACAGCAGCCACGGAATGAAAAATTCCGCCAGTTCATCGTCGAGTTCTTCCAGTACCACGACGTCTCAAACTCCCTTACCTCGCTTGACCGCCGCCCCAATCTCTTGCAAAACGACCTGCACATGCCCGATTGCGTACCCGGTGTATCAGCGGGGATGTTCCTCGGCGTGTTCGATGGTCTCTTCAACTACATCTCGCAGATAACCCAGCTCCGCGACCGTATCCGCGAACGCTTCAACGAAGGCTATGAGCCAGCAGTGGACTACCAGACACTGAGCGAAGCAGTCTCCGTTGATATGGCTATCCGCACTTGGGAGACCTCGCACGAGCCCGACACCCCGAACTGGTGTCTGGCCCAGCTATACCGCCAGTCAACCTGGGTATACCTATACCGGACGATCCGGCCCTCGCGACCGAGCGATAAAATCGCACAGGTCGTCAATGATGGGCTGGACTACCTGGACCAGCTGCCACAGGATGCATCCGCTTTCAGTATCGTGCTGATGCCACTGTTCCTGCTGGGTTGTTCTGCGTTCTTGGCCGAGCAGCGCCAACGCATCACGCAGGGCTTCGAGAATCTCAAATCCTACTCGAACCTGCGAAACATCGAGCCTGCTTTCAAGGTTGTTACGCGGGTTTGGGAGATTATGGATACCCGGATGCAGGATAGTTGGGACTGGGAAAAGATCATCCGTGATATGAACATGGATTTCTTGATTACTTGAATCGTCCTCTCCCATGCCTTCTTCTCTTCCAGCTCTTTTGCTCTTTACCCTTCTGATACCCTGTGATTTTTTATTTACTTTACCTTGTTTATTTCATTGTTCTCTCCTTGTTGATTATTCCCGTCTTGGAAAGGGGATCCTCCTTTTGTCCTATACCGGGACACGATGATCACCCCTCAGACGGGGCTGTACCATGTGGCGTTTTGATTTGATTGTTACTGTGACTGTGATGATGATGATGCATATGTTTTTGCATCTCGGAGGCCGGGAGTACTATTATTATGTTTGCGTTTGGTGTTTTTCTTTTTTCTTTATTTTTTCGGTTTGCGAGCGTCGGTGCGTCGCAGACTGTCAATGTCAAAGACATTATTCTCTGGCTGCATTGCATAGCCCGATATATGCGCCAAGTCGTTCCTTCCAAAAAGGCTCCCTATTCAAAAAAAAAAAAAAAGGTCGAGTTGGTGTTATTTCCGTGGATGAGTGATGTCGAGAGGTTGGATGATCTCATGAGTTGATGGAGGCGTTCTTGTGCTTGGAGGAATGTGGCCAGGCCAGGTCTGGTCTTGTTATTTGATTTTAGGTGATTGTATATATTCAGATTTCCCTTCGGGTTTCTTGCGTGGCCGAATAGGAATTGGGTCTTCATCCTTGTACAGTATCGGATTTGTCTATTTCTTTCAAGTGTATCAGGGCGGATCACAGAGTCTAGACTTAGATCTCTTGCATCTCCTTACTGTATTTCTTTGTTCTTTTACTGGCTGTTCTAGGAACATCCTTGACTATAATGCAGTCAGATTAGTACTCTTACGCAGACTATATATCCGGGGTTATAAACACGAGAAGTTAGGACTTCTAAGAGGACCCTCGTCTTAAATATATCTGTGTTCTTAGGTGTCTTTTGTACATATTATTTAAATATCAACCTGTTCAATTTTACAACATTTTATGTATACTATGTAACTCGTGTGATGCACCTATAACAGGTGGCCCCCACGTCCGACAGCTCCTCGCTTAGGCAAGGACCACGTTGCTGCGGGGTGACAGACCAATCGCATTAAAAAACGTCGGAGGCTAAGTATAGTCCGGGGTAAGTCCGAGAGAGGTAAGGAGAATTAATTTGCTCGGATTGTTCCAGGTGAATTACAAGGATCTGATGTCCAATTAGCCTTTGCAGGCTCGAGCCGTACCAGAATTTGATTTTCTTTTGGCAAAATCCGGGGATCGTCATCCTGCAGTCATCCCACCCCATCCACCCCATCCTTGTTGACTCGAGTCCACCTGCATAGCATATCCGAACAGGGAAGTCTTACTTGGACGGGGGAGATGACCTTCTACATGACTCGTGCCCACCCAATCTCGCTACGCCGGCAAAATCCACCATGGAAAAAGACGAGATCATCACCGAATTGAGCGCAAAGCAAACGGGTCTCCCCGCAGATGTGCGAGACACTGCATACAACCTCACTCTGCGCGCAGTAAATCCAGTATGCATCAAAGTCCGTAACCTATCCCTCGAAGTCAACACCACCCCACCAATATGGGAGACTTCACCATCACAGATCTGGCAGCGCTTGCGAGGCCAAAGGCCCTCAAAAACCAGCAAGACAGTCCTGGATAATGTATCCACTTATATGCCAAGTGGAAGCTTGACGGCCATTATCGGAAGTAGTGGCTCAGGCAAGACATCCCTCCTCAACCTAATGGCCAACCGAATGAGTCTCTCCCGAGCAAACACATGCGGAACCACGACTTTTAACGACAACCCCGACATCTCGCGCATCCGCAGTGCCTACGTCATGCAGGAGGATGTCCTAATCCCAACGCTAACAGTCCGCGAAACCCTGCGCTACTCTGCAGACCTCCGCCTCCCACCACCAACAACTCCAGCGGAGCGCCATGCAATCGTGGAACAGGTCATCCTCGAACTAGGCCTAAAAGAGTGTGCCGACACACGCATCGGCACGACAGCCCATAAGGGCTGCAGTGGTGGCGAGAAAAGACGCACCAGTATCGGCGTGCAGCTCCTGGCGAATCCATCTGTGCTCTTCTGCGATGAGCCTACCACCGGCTTGGATGCTACCAGTGCATTCCAGATTATCAGGACACTAAAGCGTCTTGCGCTGGATGGGAGGACGGTTGTTGTCTCGATCCATGCGCCGCGCTCTGAGATCTGGAGTCTTTTTGATAACCTTGTGCTATTGGCAAGGGGAGCCGCGGTTTACAGTGGCTCGGTGGAAGGGTCCTTGGCGCACTTCGAGGAGTGTGGACATGTCCTTCCGCCGTTCGTCAACCCGGCGGAGTTCTTGATTGACCTTGCTGCGATTGATAATCGGACGGAGGCGCTTGAGGCTGCCTCGAATCTTCGTGTTGAGCGGCTTAGGGAGGTATGGCGGTCGAAGCAGACTGTAGCTACAGAGACGGAGGCACCCAAACCTGAGGTCGGTAGCTTGGAGACTAGAGCTGTGAAGCAGGTCTCATTTCGTCGGCAGTTCCGCGTTTTGACGTCTCGCACTTTCAAGACTACCATTCGTGACCCGATGGGTGTCGCTGGTAGTCTTCTTGAAGCCGTTGGAATGGCTGTCATCAATGGTTGGATCTTCCTGCAGCTTGACGAAAGTCAGGCAGGGATTCGCTCGCGGGAGGGCAGTCTATACACTGCTAGTAGTCTAAACGGCTATCTCATTTTGCTATATGAGACTTATCGGCTGACTATTGATATCCGCCTGTTTGACCGTGAACGCAACGAGGGGGTGGTTAGTGTGCCGGCTTTCCTTCTCAGTCGACGAGCAGCTCGGCTACCATTGGAGGACCTTCCCGTGCCGTTGGTTTTCTCTATCATATTCTACTTCATGGTGGGGTATCGTCTGGATGCGGGACAGTTTTTTATCTTCTTCGTCCTTTCCCTGCTCACGCACTACATTGCCGTAACATTTGCTGCAGTGGCCATTGGTGTAGCGCGGAGTTTCCCTGGAGCTAGTCTGGTGGCAAACCTATCCTTCACTCTGCAATCCTTTGCGTGTGGATACTTTGTCCAGTCTAACCAGATCCCAGTCTATGTGAGGTGGTTGAAGTGGTGTGCCTACACCTTCTACATTTTTGGGGCTTTATGTGCCAACGAGTTTATCGGACCTAATGGGTCAGAACTAGGGCATTTATATGCCTGTCCATATTCCGATGACCCTCTAGACCCGGCCTGCAAGCAATACACTGGGCGCTATATCATGGAAAGCCTAGGAATGCCGTCCCACTGGATCTGGCGGCCTATTGTGGTGTTAGTTGCGTTTGCCGTTGGCCACTATCTCTTTGCTGGTCTGTTACTCCAATACAACCGCTTCGCCATAGATGTTGCTCAAGCACGAAGAAGTGAAGGAGACCCAACTAGTGGAAAGTCTAAGCTCGCTATCCGCCCAACAGAAGAGGCGCGCAAAGTGGCAATATCGCTTGACAAGTATGGTTTGGATATTCGAAAGAGACCACACCCCTGGGAAACCGCGAACATCTTACAGATCCTGAGACCCATTACCGCTGAGTTTCAGCCGGGAGAGCTGAACATTATCATGGGCCCATCTGGAAGCGGTAAAACTTCGCTGCTCAACTCCATGGCCCACAGATTGCACGGTTCCGTGGGGACACAATACCGCGTCCATGGCAACATGCTATACAACGGCGCCGTACCATCAGAGAGTGTGATCCGCTCAGTGACATCCTTCGTAACACAAGATGACGATGCACTGATGCCCTCACTAACCGTCCGCGAGAGTCTACGATTCGCCGCAGGTCTACGCCTCCCAACCTGGATGACACGGGAAGAGAAGAACCGACGCGCAGAGGAGATCCTCTTTAAAATGGGACTAAAGGAATGTGCCGACAACCTCATCGGCAGTGACCTCATCAAAGGCATCAGCGGCGGCGAGAAGCGGCGCGTAACAATCGCAATCCAAATCCTCACAGACCCTAAGGTCCTCCTCCTCGACGAACCAACCTCCGGCCTCGACGCCTTCACAGCAATGTCCATAATCGAATTGCTTCACAGCCTCGCCGCCGAAGGCCGCACTCTAATCCTTACCCTCCACCAATCCCGCTCAGACCTCTTCACCCACTTCTCCCAAGTCCTTCTCCTAGCCCGTGGTGGCTACCCCGTCTACGCTGGTCCTGGGACGAGAATGCTCGAACACTTCGCCAAGCAGGGCCATGAATGTCCGCGCACAACCAACCCAGCAGACTTTGTCCTGGATCTCATCACGGTTGATCTCCAACAAGCAGACCGTGAACTCGTCACGCGTGAGCGCGTGAAGGGCCTCATTTCCTGCTGGCAAGATAGCCCTCTCGAGCTAGGACTAGACCGACAGACATCGCAGATTGCCACGCCTGCAGAGCTGGGAAGCCTTAAGCGCCAGATGCTTCCATTCCGAGTGACTTTCCCACTGGTATTGCACCGCTCCGTAATCAATTTCTGGCGCCAGCCGCCGCTGGTTATGGCGCGGTCGATGCAGATTCCAGGGATCGCGATTATTATGGCACTTTTCTTTGCGCCGCTGAAGAATGATTATGCAGCCGTACAATCACGTATGGGGTTCATTCAAGAGTTTGCAGCGTTGTACTTTGTTGGTAAGCTTACTCCATTCTTTCCTGGTTCTCTTCGCTGGGATATCCTTTTTATATAAATATGCTAATCTCCTAAATAGGCATGCTCCAAAATATCGCAATTTACCCCAGCGAACGTGACGTCTTCTACCGCGAAGAAGCAGACAACTGCTACACGGCATCAACATTCCTCCTCAGCTACACCGCAATCGAAATCCCCTTCGAAATAATCTCATCATTAGTCTTCGGCGCGTTAGCCGCTTTCGCAGACAACCTACAACGCACCGTAACGATGTTCCTCATCAGTGCATTCAACTGTTTCTGCATAATCAGCTGCGGCGAGTCTGTGGGTATAATGTTCTGCACGCTGTTCTCGCACGTTGGCTTCGCCGTCAATGTGACGTCCATCCTACTTTCCATCTCGACCATCCTCGGCGGCGTCATGAGTCTGAATGTCAACAATGTGCTACAGGCGTTGAACCATCTCTCGCCGATTAAGTATGCCATTGCTAATCTCGCGCCTTATTCAATGCATGGTCAGGTGTTTCATTGCTCTGATGCTCAGAGGCTTGCTAATGGGAGTTGTCCTGTTGATTCTGGCGAGCAGGTGCTTAAGCTCTACAATCTGGATAAGAGTGGGCCGATGAATATCATGGCGTTGGGTGTTTGCACGATCATATATCGGGTTGTTGCTTATGCGTTTATCAAGGCTATGAGATCGCATAGATTTATGGAGCGGTGGAGGGAGTGGCGGGCTCAGAGGAAAGCTAGATAGATCTGGGCTATTATTTTATTTGTGAATCTTGTCTGTTATTTAGTTCAGATACCCTTCCACTTGGAGTTTATTTTATTTTTCAGATATTTGTGGTACATTAAACCATTCTGATAATGGAAGTCTTAAGAAGATAATCCAAAGGGTGAAGACTACATCTATCGTATATCACCTGGACATGTACACACTCTGAGATGGACATAGTGAGCACTGTGTCTCTGTATATATCTTTGTGTATAAACAAACAAACTTTGTAAAGTGCGAAAGAAGGAAAGAACAACCTAATACTAATATCCCCAATAGCAGGTGGCTTAGTGGCTCTCGTATGTGTGCTATCTACCTACATACTGTACTACGTTGGAGTGCCGAAGATCCTCCACTACCTGGACTGCCTTGGTTTGACTCCGGTCATTCTTGTATTTATCCCTTTTTTTTTCCTTCTTCGTCCTTTCTTCCTATCCTCCATAGAACAAAAATGTTAGAGCCTCAGGTCATAGTTGATGCCCGAGGCCGCTACACTGAGTATGTTGATGGCTCGTTCCTTCCTTTGTTCCCTAGTGCCCTTTCACATAGTATCACACAATATACTGATAGCTCCGATTTATGGATAGTCCATACAAAGGCTGCATTTTATGCTTTATGCTATTTTGGACACAACACCTGAATTTCGGGGAGCGAACCATTCCCTCCGAAGGTGAACACCTCGGCTGGTGCTTTGACTGTCCTCAGGCATGTCATGAATATAAACCATGGATATGCTTTTAAATCTTATTCTGGTTGTCTCTAGATCCAAGAGGCCATATTCTTTCCTAAGATCGGCAACAATGAAACTTAAATTGATGCCTCCAAATTTTGAGGCCTAGATGCCTTGGCTTCCAACCATTACACCAAAAGCAATGGCAATAAAGAAACTCTATGCTATTCACTACTTTGGATGCCGAGGCATCCCGTTTGAATAGAAATAACACTGGCTATTCGACTATGGAGGCTACTGACATATGTTCACGTGATCCTATATCCAACCTTAGAAATCATTGGGCACCAAGGACTGCGATATGTACATTCCACACCGCAAAGAGAAGCACATTGTTGACAAATATGAAAACTTAAAGCAGTTTCAAATATGACCTGCCCAGTTGGTGCTTGACGGTGAAGCCCGTGAGTCACAATTTTACCCGAGAGCATCCGGTCTACCCAACAGGACAAGCCATAATAGGCAACATTAAATCCGTCAATGCTAAATACACTCTACTCCGTCCTGTTCAATGAGAATAGAGGAGAATAGAGTTGACAAGGATTAATCTCCACTCTTTAACGATGGTTCTAGACTGCGCAACCAAGAATTAAGCCATGTGCCGAGTAAAACCCGGTCTTGGCATGTGACGGAGAAAAGCCCTTTGGAACGACTAAATGGCAAAAGAGTGGAAAAAACTTTAAGCATCGATGGATATCCCCATTGGATGGAATAACCTTAATAATCAGCTTCTTTGAACTTCCGGTTCATCCCCATTAGTTCTTCCCACATTTAACCGAAATGTTCCACGGTCGATGACGAATGGTTCACCCAGGCAATCAATATCGCCTCTTAATAGGAACAGTCCTGACAGACAGAGTCTGCTAGCCGTGAATGGGTAACTCGGCACTTTGAGTTATGTACCTGTCGGTGGGTTATTGGTTATGGGTTATGTACCTGTCCCCCAGGATTCCATACCACGTGTACCTGCATTGTACAACATACGATGGAGCAATCTATATAGCCCTATGACGAAATATGAAAAAGCGCACACACTAAAACTTTGAGTACTTTGTAATGACAACACCGTCAAGCGTTGTTCAAAGAGTGGAAATGCGAAGATCAAATGCCAAATTAATCCCGCCTCGGCCCTTTCAACGAAGAAGGATTCAGCAAATCAGGTCGAGGCTATGAGTCGTAAATCTTTCAATCGAAAATATCGAAGCCACTCGACCCCTCAGTGGAGATTTTGAACGCCATCCGCTCATCCGACTGGCGGAGGATCGACATTCTATACAACGGGCTTGAGAAGTGGAGTCAGATCTGCGAATGGGAGATTTGTGTGCTGGGGCCTGTTAAGGGTCCCTGTCTATCACTTGTTCTAGAGCGTGATTATACTTGTTCTCGGTGTGTTAGGCAGAATCTTCCTGGTTCCACTATTCTCTCTTCCTACAAAGTATGTTGGTGTAGAAAGTATGTGATCGTCTGTGGATTCGGGGATTTTACCGGTTTGTGCCTTTGCTCGTGTGCTCGTGGGTCTTGGGGGTTTTTTGCCTCCCAAGAATTTTCAAGTTTAGGCCACCTTTTACTTTTTGCCGGAGAGCCGGAGTCAAATGGGGGTTTTCAAGTCAAATGTAATACTAGATTTGGGAAAGCTTTGGAAGTAAAGATCGTATATTTCGTGTAAATCTTCAAGATCTAATAATCATCTGTCTATTCGCAAGTCTATTTCTATCCCCCCCACCATATAACTCCCATTTTTCCATATCCAATCCAAGTGTGGGGGGTATTTCTATAAAACCGTAAGAAATCATAGCTCGTGACGAGACATCCTGCCCCAGCGGGAATCAACCTGCTGTAGATGGGGAGAAGACATGTCGAATCAACCGAACATGTTGCATAACAAGAAAAAAAATCACCAATCTCATCTCAAAAGGTCATCACCGTCTAGGGTAATATGTAAAAGAAAGAAAAAAATCATCTGCCGGCTAGGGCTAGATGCGATGTGCGTGAAGAGGTATAAAAAAAAGAAAGGATGCACGGTTCAACCGGCAAAACAAAAAAGCACTGGACGACATTGGACAAATCTAGGACAGGCCAAGAGTCAAGTCAAGAGCAGTGTCGATGGGGCAGCCGTGGGTGGCATGGTCATCAGTGGGCTTGAGGTAAGCGGCAGAGCAAGCAGTGTCACCAGCCTTGCAAATGGCCGTGGGGCAAGTGGAACTTTCACCAGAAGGGATGACAGAGAAGCCAAAGTCCGTGAACTTGTTGTTGCCAGCCTGCATATCGATGCAAGACATATCCCAGAAGATGGTGTCACCGGCCTCGGTGTACTCGAACTGGAGAACGTCGTTCTGCTCGGGATCGAGGGCCAGCTTGATAGAGATGCCACCACCGTTGGGGTTGGTGCGCCAGGTCTCGGAGTAGGTGCCACCCCCGCTAGTGATAGTCTGCATGGGGCCGACGTCGCCGGCAACGGACCAGGCGTAGACGTCCTGGGCGAGGTTGTTGGTGATCGTGACACCGCCGCCGTCACGGCGGACCATGCCTGAGCGGCGGACCATGTCCTGGGGCAGAGCCGAGGCAATGGTGGAGAAGAGAGCGGCAAGGCCGAGAGTCTTGGTGAACATCATTTTGACAGGTGAGATGTTATAGAGAATGATATAGTTGGATTGTGATTTTGAATCTGGTCGACAGATGTAAAGAGTGTAACGAGAGTCAATCTCGAGACTGAAGAGAATGAATATAAAGAAGGAATGTACTGATTGTACTTTGTAGTGAGTGTGATGAAGAATAGAAATTTCCGGGGTGAACGAGGGGGTTTATATAGATTTTTTGAAAGAGATGGATATAGACCCTGACGGACCCTGAGAGATCCATCCAGGCACTGAAAGAAAACGTGTGAAGCCACCCCTGCTTCGAGCCATGGATCGGTTCAGGGAAATGTGGGTCGATCCAAAGGCAAAAGGCGAAAAGGCGAAAGAAGAAAAATTAAAAAAGAATTAAATAAATTAAATATAAAATAAAATAAAAACGAAATTCGAGAAAGAGTGGAACCAATTCAGAGAGCGTCTCGCCCCCCAGGGCTTATTGGAGTTTCTATCGAGCCCTAGAGAAAACCCGGACCGGTGAACAATTGGGTAGAATCAAACTGCAATAGTATATATGAGATGTGTAAGATATATACTACATATCCTACATATCCTACATTGTTCTGCGTATCTGCATCATCTGCATTGCTACCAGTTAGGGCATCACCGCTACCTGCACATCGTATAGTTAGTTACTCTATACTATATTTGTATGCAGACCATAGTTTAAGCGTGTCGGTATAGGGATTTCTGCGTGTTTATACGAGTTACCACCTAGAAAATTGCCCCACTGATCGCCTAAATGCCCCAACTGACAGCGTGGCAATAGTGCCCACAACCCCTTGAACCCCACGTCATAACCATCCGGCCGCCTCCGCGGGTTCTCCAACCAGATGGCAGGAATCGGCTTAAAATTTCTGAACCAGCAAAACTCAATGGCAAAGAACATGGGAGAAGCTCGGAAGTATGGCTGCTCAGCCACTTACCTCCCATTTTTCGCCAGGAACCACTGGGGGTTTGGAGCTCATTCTATGGATGTGTTGGCCACCACGAGATTTCTATCCCTTTCCCTTCCTCGGATGACACTCGGGGAAATTATTGTAGAATCCCAAAAAAATGCAGAATCTAGAATTTTAAAGTCTAGCAAAGATTGCGGCAAATATTCTAAGGTTGGCAAACTAATGAGTGCCGAGGAGAGAAGTTAAGGTGTATACTGAACTTTAACATGATGAGGCAAGTAGGATATTACCAAGGCAATTATATTGTACAATATACGGAGTACGCAGTATTCTAAAGGAATATCAGTCGAGCCAATAATGATATTTCCTCCAGATTATTACTGCAGTTACTGCAATTACCAATCCGACCGGCCTGGCTCCATGTACTTTGTATGTTGATAATTTCTATAGAAAACTTATCCAGACTAGGTAGGTGAAAGCTAACAACTCCACTCAGTTCTCAGACCCTCTTACATGAAAATACTATGTACAATATCGCCTAGACTACCTAGAATGTAGTGTTGGACTTGGTGTCAAAGACCCCGAGACCCTAAACCAATGACATATTTAGCAACACCCCGCTAGGCGCCTCTGACGTTGATCTGGGCCCTGCACAAATGAGCGTGCCTGGCGATCGAGTCTGGATTCTTTTGGGCAAAAATCATGTTCTGCATTGTACACAGAGTATTCTGTTTACTATTTTTTCAGTTGATAGAATAATGTTACCCTAAATGATTCTATATTAGGGCTCCGGTCGTCTAGATTCGGGAGCACTGGCTTTGACCTGACAAAGTCCGACTAAAACCACCTTGAAAAGAAAGGCCTTTGGCAATAGCTGTAGAATGGTATTTACCATGTGCACAGAGATTGTGACACTAAGAACTCTCAATAATAATAAAAAAAAAAAAACTACCCCTGGTATACACAAATGGGTTCTCCGATGTCTCGCAATTATTCTGTTTTTTGTTTTTCTTAACTTCACACTTGAGGTTGGATGCTACTTCACTCCCATCGCTGTGCCTCTGTAAGCCACTGAAGTCAGTGTCACAGTCACCGGTGGACCTTCCTAGTCTGGGTGGGACTAGGTAGCTGGACCCCGACCCCCATCAACGCCCCACCAATGAAGCCCTCTCCGCTTTCATTCTTTGCAGCTTACCTGCAGTCTAGATCGCCAGGGGAACCAACCGGTAGGGAACGGTGCCTGAAAGGGAGGGGTTGGACGGAGGATCCCGGATCAGGCATCTACCAATACGGAGCGCGCATGGCCGACAAACTAGCCAATGCGCCCTCGCTGCCGTCCTCTTTCTTCCGGTGACCAGCCAACTCCAAGTTAATCTGACGGTGGATGTGCACCAGCCAGTCCACATAGCTCTGGGCCTCGTTATTTCGGTCCTCCAGCAGGAGTCGGGCGAACTCGTACTCCGCCCCATCCATGCCTTGCCGAGCCAGTTGGATCGTTACGGACTTGGACCCGCGCACCGTCGACAGGTACTGCAGCAGATTACGCACCTGTGCGTTCAGGTGAGTCTCGAGCACAGGCAGGGACGAAGTGTTGGGGTTCAGGCCTTGGAGGGAGTCATGGCCCGGTCCGAATAGGTCTTCCAGTAAATTGGGTGAGACCTGCGCGTGCAGCCAGAGGATAATTGCCTGGCCGTTGTCCACGAGGTAGACACCACCATCTTCAATACGAGAGAAGCTGGCTCGCAGGGAGGGCGGGATTTGGAGCTGTCCGTGCTCGTTCGCAAACCCATCCTCCGGCTGCATGTTGTGCACGGGGATAATGCGAGGGTAGAGGTACAAGGCCATCTCTGTGCAGCCCATTGCTCGGATCAGGCGCATGTCATGCACCCGTCGGTCTGATGACTCGGGCCCAGCTTTGAACGCTCTCGACTTGACCAAGCTGAGCATGTACATCGAGAACTCCTTCAGATTCTCGGGTAGAACTAGCTGGCCGGGTGGGTGCGAGCCGGAGAAGATCTTGCGGTATCCGCTGAAGATATCGATTGTCTTCTCTGAGATATTGGATCGGATGTCCTTGAGGCTCTTATCGAGAGTTTTCGAGGCAGCTATAATAGTATCAGTATACATAGTGAACGTCTTCTGGTAGGTTGTCCAACATACCCTCTTTGGCAATAACCGAGACCACAGCATCCTGGTCGACAAACTTCATTGTCTCCATGCCTCCTTCATTCACCGCCGCCACAACGTTGATACATCGAACACGACGTTGACCATCTGCGGAAGTGTAAAGCAAAGCGGCCTGGAAATGGGCATCCAGCTTGGGATCGAGTTTGCCATCGTAGCTGAAGAGAACACCGATAGCCTTGTCGGCATCGACGCCGGCAATCTCCAGATCAGCGCCGAGTGTATGCTGGACAAAGTTTCCGTGGTAGGCGGACACTTGAAGTCCATTGGAACATCGGACTTTCATCAGGGTTTGATATCCCGTCTCACGAGTGACGGCATGAGCGATTTCCTTCCGTAGCTTGAGGAGATCGCGTGGAGCATGGAAATTAGGGTAAAAGAATGTCTCGCCTCCGGTGAGACTAGAGACATGTCCTATAAATTATGTTAGCCGATGCTCTGTATGGGGCGCAATGACGCTTTCAACATACCAATTGTTGCCACGTCGAGGTATGTGCCACCAGGGGCTGCCATGAACAGATCCAAGCCCACGCCAGCTTCAGCTAACTTGCTAGCCGTCTTCTTCCAGGCTGGGTTTTCTGTGGTGAAAAGTTTCCGTTCCGCATCCGTCCCAGCAAGTTTAGGATCTTCTCGGATTGCCAGGTGTCCCGGACCGCAGGTAGGCAGGCTAGCCACCGCGCAGACGATCTTGCCACCTGTAGCCTGCAGTGCGGAGAGCGCCGAGTTCAATGTCGGCAGCAAAGCCGACTCGGGGTTTTTGATAGAAGAGAAGATTTTGGGTATCCGACTGAGAAGAGAAGTGATCACAGACCTAAACATAGTTAGTGACCTGTAGTAGACAAGAATAAGGGATCTCATACTTCGATTCATATGGGTCTACAAAGAGACCTTCGCTCAACGGAACAAATGGCTCCTCCAAATCAGTCATAACCATCATTTGTGCTTGATCCAATGACGCCTGTGGACGTGTTAATAGACGAAAGCATAGCATAATGAGGGACACATACGCTCAGGTTGTAGAAGTGCACCTCCTTATCATACGTAACAATGCCGACCTTCGCTCCAGCGGGCAATTTCCGTGATGATTCATCGCCTTCGGCGCCCTCTGATGGTTCATCATCACCGTATAGAGCATCCTTGATGCCTGCACAAACACCCTTGAGGAATCCCCGATGAACCGACTCCCGGCTGACATCGATCAAAAAGAGGGTTTGAAGGCCCACCGGCTCCTTGTTCCAGTATTCCTTCGGGACCGTGAACTCCACAGTTCCCATTAGCAATTCAGGGCGCTGCATGCGATCCACACGCGCACCTGATGGGTCCAGCGGCGCAAAGTATTCGGGAGGCGTATCGTTCGGGAACGTGCACATATTACAGACGAACTTGCTGCCGCCAGATCGGAAGGACATAAATGGGTTGATATATGTTCGGCATCGTCGGCATCGCGGGGGACCAACATCCCCGAAGTCCAGCACGGGGATCGGTTGTTCGCCGGGATCCAGAGGCGCGAGGGGCTGCAGGATCATGCCCAATGGCAAGCCAGTTGAGGTAAGGAAGTCAGAGGCGGAGGGGATGTTATTGAGTGTTAAACGAGCATATTTAGGAGAGGAGTTGCCTTGGTCCTGAGCCACGAACGGGATCGCCGCTGGTGGGGGGAGGTGTTGGTCCATTGTCGGGTAGACATGATTGAAATAGTACTGAGCGGGCAGGTCGCGCGATCGTGGGATGCTGGGGATATGCTCTGGGTCAATTCGGCCTGAAGTAGGGACAGAACCTGCACCGCTCTGCATTCCAGGTATCGCGGCGACAGACTGCCCAGATACCAACCCCACCGCCGGGGAAACCGGTCGGTCAGCATGTTGGTTCAAACCCGTGTTCAGGAACTGCGATTGTTGCTGT